GACTCATTTTTTCATTCTTTTATAATTTAAATTTGATTCCTTCCTTCTTTCCTTTTCCTGCTCATTTGACTCCAGATTATGTGTAACCTCTATCCACTATGGACAGTGTGAGCACTTTTTTGCTTGTTTGGGTTCAGTTTTTGATTGGGAGAGAATTGTTCCACGACATTTTGATTGGAACCAATGCTAAGGCTGGGGTTGAAATATATGCTCCCTAATTCTTTGTTCGTTAACTTGGTTTGGCCAAACTTGGCCGTTTCCTCCTTGTTACTCTAAAATTTTGACGGACCGTTTTCATACTATTAATAAATCAGAAGCACAAGCTATAGATGCTTGCAACATTCTTTTAACACGCAACTTCTCATTAGCCCCTTTCAACTCTAGCTTTGCTGTTCATCCTCTTTTTGAACAGCTCTGGCTATCAATAAAACGCATATTGTTTACAACTGATGATAATCGTGCCTTCCATTTACTGGATCAGCCAGACACTTCCTCTACTTCTCCCATTCTGGCCACCTCTGTGTCCCGTAGGAATCCTTCATCACCCGTTTGTGCTAAACGCCCTATTCTTCCACCTACTAAGGTTGCTACAGCTAAAGGTGCCCCCAGCTGCAAACGGCCAGCTTCAGCTTCTCCAATTTTTCAAGATGATGATGATGCTCCTATCATCCTTAGGAGAAAGGTAATTGAGTTTATTTATTCATCAAACACCATCTTTCGTATTTTAATGCATTACTTGAATTTTCCAGAAAAATTCAGCCTCTCCCTTAAAGGCTCTGGTCTTAGCAGCACCTGCTTCATCGCCTCCTGCTGAAGCTGCTTCGTCTAAATCAGCTGATGAAGGGACCATGCTTAAAGAGAAATCCTTAGTCCCAGAGTCTTCATCAGATCCAGTTGAAGAGCTACCATCTTCCTAGGGCGTTGACCCCCCAAGTGTCGAATCAGAAGGTAATACGCATTTTTAGTGTTTTTACCCTTACTTGTGCTGTTGGTTTTCATTGCTTCTTGAATTATGCAGAAGTTTCTATGGATTTGCCCATTGTGGCAGAGTCTACTCGCTTAGATAAGGGGAAGTC